ATATATATAGTGCCGCTCGCCGTGAGTTTTTAGTGGTGCAGCATAGCGTAAGTCCCATTGGGGTCATGAGTTCGATGCTGCCTGAGTGCACCTGTCTTGCAGTGCGGGATCGAGTGGTTAAGCACATGAGGGTGGCTAGAAGCTCGTATCATGACCTCCAACCAGATTGTATAATATGATATTTATTCATAATTCTCTTTAAAATAAATTTCTTAGTAGCATGGGAAGCAACAACTTTCATGATTCAACAAATAATAAAATAAATTATAAATATATAAAGAGTAAAGTGTCAAAATAGTCTACGATTATTTACATACAGCCGTTTTAGTCCCAGAGTTTAGATACATATTAATTTGGTCCCATATTTTAAATTGGAGTTAATGTAATCTTTGTTGAGGAATATTAGAGTCTAGAGATCAATTTGACACTTCTATAAACTGTGGGAGTAAAATGATCGCACATACATAATTAAAGAGTTATTTTGATACGTTGCTCTCGGGCTATCAAAAAAACTCGTTGTTCGCGAACAGCTCGTGTTCGTCTCGTTCGTTAAGTGAACGAGCCGAACACGAACAAATTTTTAAAGCTCGAATTATAAACAAGCAGAACACGAATAGCTCCTTGTTCGCTCGTGTTCGGCTCGTTTTAGCTCAAAATAAAAAATTATATAACTATTTATATAACAATATATTACATATATTATTTATATAATAATATATTATATATATTTATGTCTAAATTTAAAATGTGGTTAGTGCATTCTTGATCCAGGTTCGAATCTCACACTTTACAACTATTTTTCTCAATTTAAGTTTAACGAGCCAATTAGTTTTACCTAAACTTATTTAAAAGACTCTTAAAATGAAATATTTTTTATTTATAGTTTGAAGTTACAACTAAGAGATTCAGGCTCATTTGTTCTATCAAATGGAAAATATCTCCTAAGGTTAATTACAATCTATAACATCTTCAAGGGACGATATTAAGAACTCGGCTCGTTTACAGCCCTACGTTTCTCTATAAAAAAAAACATATGAATACACGTGGCTTATATTTATAATCGTAATTATTGTTGAGATAATTTTTTCTTAAAAGGGTTTACATAAATGCCATTTAATTCTTGTGTATTTATTGTCTATAATATCTAAATTTTAATTTTATAAATATGGCAACTTATTAAAGCATTTAAAAAATGTATTAAAATAGCGATACTTTTTTAGTTTAATATAAAGAATATGGGATAAGAATATAAAAAGGTAAATTTTAGGAGTTTGGCATGTAAATACAAAAAATCTGTTTTTTGTTATCGTTTCATCAGTCGCTCGCCCAATATATTTCTCTCTCTGCGTGCTCGATTGATACTCTTGACTTCACCGAGTTCTTCAAGAAATCTCTCCTCCTATCACAGATTGATAGAGCAAGTACCGAAAGATTGCTTTTTTGATTATTCTAGGTCTGGAATCCATAAATCCATACTGCAAGGAGGGAAAGAAGGGGGATTGTGCCTTTGGGCTTCAGATAGATGGGCGGCGGCGGCTTCCATGGCTGAGTTTAGGCGTCAATGCGAACTGCTGGGAACTTACAAATTGAAAGCTAGGGTTTTGGCTTGAGACAGCGGTGATTTTTAGTGGTTTGTGAGATGGAATCTAGGTTTAGAAGCTGGTAGCATATTTTGATGGAGGAGTAGGTTCTGGAGTTGATCGGAAGCGGATCGGTTGGGGTTGGTGAGTCTGAGGGCTGGTGGAGATTCCTCCTCTGGAAGCTGCAGCGTTTTAGGTTTTTGGCGAGTCTGAAGTCTGGTGAGTGATCCTGCGCCTCATCATGGAACAGGTCATCGGTGGAAAGTTCAAGCTTGGGAGAAAGATTGGAAGTGGATCTTTCGGAGAATTATACCTGGGTAGGTCAAATCTTTTCGCGTTTATGCATTGCTGAACAATATTTTGTTCTTGTTTTACTTTTAGGTTTTGTGGGTTGGTTATTTTAGCTGTGTTTTGTGTTTTTAGGTGTTAACATACAGAGTGGGGATGAAGTAGCCGTCAAGTTGGTAAGTTTCTGTCTGATTAGTAGATTTGTGACGCCTTTTCAAAGATTACTGTGGACTTTATTTTGATTTTCTATGATGAGATGTGTTTGATCATTGAAAATTTTTATCGAAGTATGAAATTCATGCAAAAAAAATTTTTTTTTTAAATTGTTTTGGTCATCAATGACTTTAACTAGCTCAATGTGAAAATTAAAAAAAAGTTTCTAGTTTTTAGTTGTACAGTTCCTTAAACTTTGTCAGTAAGGTGCTGGGATTTGCTCCAGTGCTGTTCTACTTTTTAGTAGAGCTTATCTCTATCTTGTCGTTTTGTTCATTAAAACAAGTTTTTTTTATCATGGAGCTTACTGGAGCAGAAGTATTTACATATTTGTCAAAATAAGTGAAGAATACTGAATTTGTTATCTGCCTGCAGAACAGATAACTCAATATTATAGTTTAAACAAAATTGCCCTGTTTTGCGTTTTTTTCTTTTTTCTTAAAGCTTCCTGAGCAGTCGAAACATTGCTATTTACAAAATTAGCACCCCAAGTGATTTAATTTGAACTACCGAACCGATGTATTTATATGTGCCATGATCAAACCATTGAGAAATTGATAAAAATGAAAATTATGAGTTTGGGTTTTATCATGAATTTTGATATTTGTGCGAGTTTAAAAAATGGATGAAAGATGGTGCTAGACTTGTAAATTGCTATTTTTTGAGTGCTATGTATTTAATTGCCCCATTATTATTGTGTCAGGATTAATGCTTCCACGTTTACTTAACCATTCCAATATGTTTTTAGGAATCTGTAAAGACAAAGCATCCTCAGCTTCATTATGAATCCAAACTTTACATGCTTCTTCAGGGAGGAAGTAAGTTTCTCTTTACACTTTTCTCCCGCTGCTCTTTACATGGGTGTGAATTGTATATTTATAAAGGAAGATTGGCATACATTCAACTCTTATGTATTTACCCATCCAACACTCAAAATTCAAAATTTTAATTTTATTTACATACATACCACAGTTACCACCTTACCTATGCATTAAAAGGTGTATTTCAATTTTTAAATGTTAAAATGGTGGTATTTTTTATGTGATATGATAGATTTGAGTGGGTATAAATGCAAAAAGTAAATTTTAGGTCTTTGATGTGTAAATATATAGCATATGGGTGGTATGTATGTAAATGCCCCATTTATTAAGTTATCTGGTTAATTGTCTTTTCTATTTGAAATAGCTGGAATTCCTCACCTGAAGTGGTTTGGTGTCGAGGGTGAGTACAATGTAATGGTCATTGACCTTCTTGGGCCGAGCCTCGAAGACTTGTTCAACTATTGCAATCGAAAGTTCTCATTAAAAACTGTGCTCATGCTTGCTGATCAGATGGTTAGTTCATAATTCTCTTTTTCTTTTTTTCTTTTATAGTTTTTGGTTAGCTATTCTTCGTGAACAATTTAAATTAGGAAGATTTACATACATACCGCTCAATTCCTATGTGTTGATGTTAATCTATAGGTTAACCGTGTTGAATACATGCATTCAAGAGGCTTTCTTCACCGTGATATTAAGCCAGACAATTTTCTCATGGGCTTAGGACGCAGAGCCAATCAAGTATGTTAGCGTTATTTTGAAATTCATATTATAAGCCGGTGTTAAAATTGCTTTTTTTATACTCTGCAACTTGTTTTGGTTTATATAACTTTGGCAATTTCCCTCACTTTATTGTATGATTTTGCATTTTCATACACCCATGCTTTTCAATTATCTCAAAATTTACATCAGCTCCTGCTGGCTCCAGCTAATAATTAAACTACTTGTGTTTTATTTAATTGTAGGAGAATTTTGCATCACAGCATATAAGAAATCACACCAAATTCCTCTGCCTTCATGAAATGTACCAAATCACCAAAGCAAATCTTATTGTCTAAATGATGAACTAGATAGATTTATGGGTCACAATCTCATACGTAGACACAATTCTTATGTTATTACATATCTCACACCTATACTTTCATATTTACATACATAACACTTTCAAGCTTTAAAACTATGCATGAAAATGTGCATTTCACTTTTAAACAGTGGTTATAGTGCTATTTTTGATCTGATATTAAAGATTTCAGTGCTATAACTGTAAATATGAAAGTTTTGGTTTGAGATATGCTAATACATAAGAATTGTGTGCTATTTATGTAAATGCCCAACATGAGAATTCAAAGAAATATTCAATTGCACTGTGGATACTTAATGCTGTTGTATGTGATTGAGGGCCATTATAAAAACATTTTGCTGACACAAATTATATTTTATAAATGAAATGAAATTCTCTTGTATGCTTTAAACACAGATAATTGTTTTCCTTAACATGGTTCTTTCTTTCGATGATTGTTTTCCTACTTGTTAGACACCCTTATTGGGATATGGCTCATGATGCTTATGGAAAGCTTTTAATGGATGTTATTTTACATTGTGTGGCCAAATCTATCTATAATTTCTTATGCAGGTGTATATTATTGATTATGGTCTTGCAAAGAAATATAGAGATCTCCAAACTCATAAACACATTCCGTACAGGTGAATCTTAAGCTTTCATCGTGTTTCTACATTTCGAAGTTTCCTTATCCTCTTTCCTTGCAATATGTCTTGTGGTAACGAACACTTCAATTTCCAGCATGCATGGATTTATCTATATGTTCTTCTGAATGTACTAAGCATGCATGCATCATACGCAAATTGAAAAAAAAGAGAGAGAACCAAAATTTTTGGGAAATTTCTTTAAGAGGTTTGCATGTGGATTTTGCATGAAAATAATTAAAAGGTGAAACTAGCATTTAAAATGCTAATTGCACATTCATGTTTAAATTTAAGCTCGCATAATTGTGCCGATTATTTAACTTTGTGTCGATTCATTTAAGATTGCTGTCAGTTATGATCATAAACAATTATTCTTGCTTTTTTTTTGGTAATTTTTTCAAATATTTGTAGAGCTACTTAGATTGACGCAATGTCTATGTGAGCTGATTTATGATTTATTGCAGCAATGTGGTTTATTGATAGATTTCCGCAATCTCATGATAACATCAAAGATTACAGTCCTAAGATATGATGGAACCAAACTGACATGTATTACTTGCATCATAAGTTATTAATTTACTTGCCTGATTAAATTGGAGATGATTTATTCTAGGCCTTCAGAAATTTAAAATTGACAAAAAGTTAGATCTACGATAATCCTATTTACAGTTTTAATATGCAGAAAATGTTATGATGTTCAACCTAATAGGCCCATTGATCACACGCAGCCAAATTTTAATTTGGATAAAAAGGCTATTTACATACATGGGACACAATTCTTATGTATTTACATATCTCACACCTAAAATTTCATATTTACACACAACACTCTAACCTTTAATATCACATAAAAAATAGCACTATTATCACTTTTTAAAATTGAAATACACCTTTCATGACCAGGTTTAAAGCACCAAAATGCTATGTGTGTAAATATGAAAGTTTAGACGTGCAATATGTCAATACATAAGAATTGCATGCCATGTATGTAATTTTTTTTTAAAAAAAAAGGGTATTTACATACGTAGCGCATAATTCTTACGTATTTACATATCCGACACCTAAACTTTCATATTTACACACATAGCTTTAATATCACATCCATAATAACACTAGTACCACTTTTTACAAGTGAAATAAACCTTTTCATGCATAGGTTTAAAGCACCCAAGTGTTATGGATGTAAATATCGAAGTTTAGGTGTGATATAAATGCTTAAGAATTGTCAGGATGCCAATCAAATACTTCTAAATTTATAGTCCGTTTTTCATCAATTGTGAAGTAAGCTGGTTTTATAATCTTTTATGCATGGTGAATTATTTCAACAAGGTCGGGCCTTATGATTATTTCCTTTTATAGATTTTTCATATTAAAAACTCCGGTACCTCATTTGAAATTCTTATTTAATCTATATGTATGCACTCAAAATTTATAAAAGATAAAACTTAAATCTCTTACTCTATCATCATGAATGTTTTAGCAATCATGAATGCACCCTAAATTGTAGATGTTAGATATATAAATACATAGGAATTGAGTGGTATGTATGTCAATATTCCAAGCTTATATTCCCCTTGTTTCATATTTACTGATGCAAATGCCATTTATTTTCAACAGAGAAAATAAAAATCTAACGGGGACAGCACGGTATGCTAGCGTTAACACTCATCTTGGTGTTGGTTAGTTTCCTTCGCGGTCATTTTTCGAATAAAAAAATATTTGCTGATTTTGTTTGATTTGTTGTCAAGCATCTAATTTACTCATTGAAGTGCATTTATCTCCATGCAGAACAGAGCAGGAGGGATGATTTGGAATCTCTTGGTTATGTCCTAATGTATTTTTTAAGAGGAAGGTTGGAATTTGATGGGAGTGGCTCATTTTTATTGGGCATTTACATACATAACCAGCCAATTCTTATGTATTTACATATTTAACACCTAAAATTTGCTTTTTTACATTTATACTACCCAAATCTTTCCAAATCTTTCATATCACATAAAAAATACAACTTTTTTAACTTTTTAAAAAGTGAAATACATCTCTTCATGCATGGGTAGGGTGGCATATATGTAAAAAGTGAAGTTTCAGTGTTAGATATGTAAATGCATAATAATTGAGTAGTATGTATGTAAATCTTTGTATTATATTTGGGTTATTTTTTAACAATTCTATTCTCAGCCTTCCTTGGCAGGGCCTCAGAGCTGGTACCAAAAAACAAAAGTATGATAAAATCAGCGAGAAGAAAATGCTTACTCCTGTTGAGGTAATTGGTGCGTGCTTTCCCCGAGTGTTATCCTTTCAAATGTTTTCCACGTCTGTCACAGGAGTTGTTAAAAGTTGAGGAAAGTCACATATTTGTCTTAAAAATCAGGTGCTGTGCAAATCATATCCACCTGAATTTGTATCTTACTTACACTATTGCCGGTCATTGCGATTTGAAGACAAACCAGATTATTCTTATTTGAAGAGACTTTTCCGTGACCTTTTTATTAGAGAAGGTAGGAATTATCTTTTTTATGAACACATTTCATGTCAGAATGAAGATTCAACATTAAATGTTTTTTTTTTAAGCAGATGAGGATTGACACCTTTTTACTGCAGGTTATCAGTTTGATTATGTTTTTGACTGGACTGCATTAAAATATCCTCAAGTTGGTGCTGAAGGCAGAGCAAATGTATGAATTCTGGATCATTGTTATGCCCCATTGTGTTTTGATGTTTTTTGGATTGGTTGGCTTTTCTTATTTATATTAGATATGTAAATACATAAGAATTATGTGGAATGTATGCAAATTCCCCTTTCCATTATTACAGGCCAGTGGTAGAGCAAGTGGAGCAATCGGACCTTCAGTGGAACGAACAGACAAGGCTTCAGGTTTTCATTGCACTCTCTCTCCCCACCAATTTCTTTATTTTTTGCTCCTTTGTTAAACTCTGGTTCAGCCTATTTATTTACTTCTTTATACAGTGGGACAAGAGTTTTGTGATAAATTTTCCGGTGCGATGGAATCATTTGCTAGGAGAGGGGTATCTGGTGTTGGCCATCATGGAGAGCATTCCAAGCACAAAGTTTTGGAGGATGCAACATCAAAGGATGTAAGCCATTTTATTTATTTATGGTGTATTTGTTTCTTAGTGAGGAGCTTATTGATGAAGTTTGATCATGGCTTGTGGATTATCTTCTGTCTCTTTTATGATATTATTATCTTTTTTCAATGTTTATCTGTGGACCTCCTCCTATATATGGGGTTTCCTTTAGGATGTAATGGAATTTGATGATGACTTGTGTCTTCTTCTCTTCTCTCTCTTATCCCAGTTGTTCCCTTGCCCTTTCTGTCTTCCTTTTTCTTATGTCCTACCCTCTTCCTCTTGTGAGCTAGACTCACTCGGTCTGCTACCGTAGTCCCTAGGGGTGTTGAGGATTCAATATGAAACCCATTAAACGTCGGCTCAAGATTTGCTCCAAGTCATTCGATTTGATCTCGATTCATTCCAGAGCCTAACTCAAAATCAACTTGAATGTGTTGAGCCAAAATTTTGGTTGATGGCTCGGCCCGTTTGGTGGAATTCAAGCTCAATTTGAGAAAAATATCCTTTAGATATTTGAGCGAACTTCCATTCTTGAGCTAAACTTTTAGCCTTGCTAGCACAAGGTAGTGTGCATGCTAAGAGGCCATTTGCTTGCTACTTTTGCACTGACCCCAATCCCCTCCCCTATTAATCCAACACTTTCACTCCTTACATTTATATGCAAATACTGTTGCATTGTATTATACTATTAAAATATCATAAATTGGCAAAATATATGTGCGTTCAAATAATTCAGTGAGAATGTGCTAGTGTTTATAACATCATGATATTAAAAGAGTAAAGTGCATAGTGAAGATTAACTAGTCTTTTTCTTATTATAATTTCACATGACTGATGATATTAAAGATTTCTACAAGCATTATTCGACCAAGGGACTGAAGTAATTGTTGGATCATGCATCTATTTGCCTAGTCTAACTTCTTGTTATTAGCTTGTGTGGAATTGATTGGATGATTTATTTTTGTTGAATGTTTAGCCAACAATGATGATATTAATCACAAGAACTCTAAATATGAACTAGTTTAATTTGGGCTACAAATATTACTACTCTTGGCTTTTGATACTATGGAGGATAGTATGTAGATCTCATCTTGTACACACCCTCATGCCATCTCCCCCCCCACCACTCTCGTTACCTCCAACTCTTTAAGAGAAGAGTTTATGATTTGGGAGATCGTTGTTGTATTCATGGGTTGTTGATTTATGTTACTTATGTCTTTTGAACTAATAAATTTTTATATTCATCTAGTAGTAGTCTTCTTGTGTAAATGGAAGCTTTTAGTATGTAGTGGTAACTAAGAAAAGAAATGATTCTTTGATGTTTGATCTTAAACCCTCACACTTGCGAGAAAATATTGCGTGCAGAGTCCGGACACGAGCTGTGTCCGGTCAACGAACGTGATATAGCAGAGGTCCGAGCTCCCGCTCCGCCCCGCCCTATCTCGTCTGTTGTCCGGACGCAATATTTTTTCCGCACTCCCATCAATCTCCTCTTTTCCACTCCCACCTCTCTTATTTGGGCTCCTTACCTCTCCGATCCCTCTTCATTTTTTTTCTCTCTCTAAACCCTATTCGTATCTATTCATTCCTCCTAAATAAATACTTAAGAGGTGTCTATCCACTTTCTTATTAGATTGTTTACCACCCCTTTTTCCTTGTTACCACAACCACCACCCCAACAATCACACAAGATAATCTCTATTTAACATAAACCTTGCTCAACTACTGCAAGCTCATCAAAAGCTTTCTTCCTTTGCTAAAATATGAGAAAAAGGAGATCCATTGATGATATAACTTCAAATTGTATAAATATTCAATGCAGATGTTATTTTGAAATCAGCTTATTTTAGGCCTTAAATGGAGTTATTTGTGAATCTTCTCCCAACTATAGATGCTAAATGGCATTGTTTTTGAGAAAATATATCAATTGCTATACCTTTTAAATTTTTGAATAGGGTTGGTGAAACCTTTCAAGCCTCAACAAATGCCTTTTTTACGGAAATTTACATAACACACAATTCTTGTGAATTTACATTTCTCACATCTAAATTTTTATATTTACATACATAGCATTTTGGCGCTTTAAACCTATTATGCATGAAAATGTGCACTTCACTTTTAAAAAATGATAATGTTGCTATTTTTATGTCTTTTTTTCCTGAAAATTTTTAATGGCAAAAGCTTGATATGTGCTTAATCTTGCATCTATAACATTGCTTCCCCTTAAATTCTTAAAAGCATTTATATTTTGGTAATCCTCATGATGCTCACTTGGAAACAAGTTTCATCTTCTTAACCATCTCGATCTCCTCCTTTAAAGGTTCTGGATTCAGAGAAAGCACAAGCATCCTCTTCTGGGAACGCCGGCGGACTCTCCAAGCGGGCTATCATCTCAAGCAGCCGCCAAGGGTCTGCGGAACCCCCCCGATTGGTCTCAAGCGGCGGCGGTGGCAATCACTCTGCCGTAAAACAGAGTAGTCTGAATCAACCTCCAGCCGAATTCAGGCCGTCGACGCTTTCCCGACCCGCCATCGCACGAACTTCCCGGGACGAAAATCCCGGCAGAAGCTTCGAGCTCCTCTCCATCAGCGCCGAGAAGAGGAAATAACAAAAGGCTTTTCATTAGAACCAGTATATCTATAGAAGCAGGTGGGTGGTATATATGTAAATCAACTTGTGTATAAATTTCCCTCACAAGCTTTTGTATGGTGGGGGACTTTGGATTGGGAGGAATGGGTGTATTGCTATTATGCTCATCATTGTTTGTTGGCTACATTTTCATTATAAATAAAAATATAGAACATTTTGAGCTTTGAAATGCTATTATTTTGTTATTTTGGATTATTTTGTTATGGTTTGGTTTGAGCTATGTAAAATGTAGAATTAGAGCAGGGGAAAATGAAATTAATACACTACATGATTTATCTGTTAGAATTTAGACAAGATTTTCATACATTTCACTCAATTTCTATGTATTTGCATGTGTACCTCCTGAACTTCAATTTTTTACATATATATTATCTTAGAAGTAAGGGTGTAAATGAGCCGAACACGAGCTGAGCCTGGGCGCTGTTCTGGGCGCTGCTCCTGTTCGGCTCGTTTATATTTCGAGCTCAACAAGCGGGTTCCGGTTCCACTCCTTTTCTTATCGGGGCGTTCACGAACAAATAGTCATTTTGACAAAATTAATCAAGTATGTTAAGGATTGAAGCAGATTTAAAACATCATTTGAATCTAATATAATAATTTTTATTATATTTTCTTAATTAATACTTTTAATTGATTATAAATCTTTGTAGTCTTGTAGTCAATTAAATTTTTTAAAAATATTACTCATCAAAGATATATATATATATTTAAATGACTAGTTTTCATAGTAGTTCAGATGAAGTTAACCAGAAAACAGATAAAAATAGGCAAATTTACATAAATATCACACAATTTATATGTATTTACATAACTAGCATACAAAATTTAATATTTACACTCAAAACATTTTGGTCATAAAATTATATATGAAAATGTGTCTTGCTTGAAAAATAGTAATATTTTTGGTGTGATGTATAATATTTGAATATTATGCATGTAAATATGAATCTATATATTAATATATAAAAATTTTGTTTTGTATTTTCTCTAATTATCTAATAATTAAATACTTAATTTCTCCCCATTTATTAAAGTGAAAATTACACTTCATTTTTTTTTTTCATAGATGACTTCTTAAATTTGCATGAAAAATATGTTTTTTCATGTTTTAAAAGTTATAATAGTGATTTTTTTATGTGCTATAAAAGATTTGGGTAGTAAAGATGTAAGAAGGTAAAGTTTAAATTTTAGATACGTAAATACATAAAAATTGGGTGGTATGTATGTCCTTGACTTATACCTAAGGAATCAAGCGTGATATGAAGAGAGAGATGTGCGAAGAGATATAAGAGATAAATTAAGTATTATTGTATATGGTTTCAACCGCCGCTATTACAATTAATGCTCCTCTATTAATCGAGGGTTGTGAATGGTTTTAAATAACAATTACACTCATGGCCTTTTTTAATCAGTCGGCTCCCAATTGATTGGCTTTCATGTCGTGTGAATGTTGAATATATGGTGGGTCCTCCTTTTGTTGGTTGCCTCTACCTGAGTGGATACTGAGTCGATCAACCTTTGCTTTGATCGGCCTATAGGTCAATTTACCCCGACCTGACTACCTCTATCTTTTAAGATTACACTAACCTTGCTCTTGCTGATCTTCTCTGAACCCTATCGCTCCTTTGACTTTGTTGATATCATCTTGATGGCCCGATTACCGATGAGATGTAGCCCATTTGGGATACGATGATTCACCCTTTGCACTTATGGCCCGATAAGCTCTGACGTTTAGAGATATTACCACTGAGAAGATTTTGGTTATTTCGTAGTTTTTTATGTCGATGTGCCGCTACCCATTTGGAATGTGAGAGACTCACTATTTGCCCTGTGACTTAACACGAGCTTTGAAAGCAATGAGGCGTTTCCATACGAAAGAACCATCATTTGATGACTTATTCTCCATGTTCCTGATAATGTAAGAGAAACTTCTTTTATCGAGACTATCCTTGGGTATCCCCTATGATGTAATTAATCAAAAGGATACATCTCTTTGGGAGACTTCTGACTCCAGAACAAAAATGTTCTTTTTGATTCTCTGATTATGACTAACTTATGTCGGGATCATTTCGTTGATATTAGTTTTCGAGGTATTTTGATCTGATTTTGTTCATATATATAGTTTCGACCTATTTCACGAGGATTACCCATATATAAGCCTTACATGTTTTTTTTCTTATTTGTCTATTTATTGTTATATGTTCTTTTTTATTTCTCTCCTCTTTGAATCATTTGTATGATACACAGAGAAGATTTATTCGACAAAATGAATAATATGATGACATATAAATATACAAACTGACGAATCTGAATTTTTGAAAAAGGAAAAAAAAAAACAGTCGACAGTCGAACACGCACAAATCTGATGCACAAATCTGATTTCAACACAATGACATAACTTATGCTTTAATATCAAATATAACACTCTGCCTCACCATCTCCAATCAAGGAGAAGCTACAAAAATAAGAGATTATTCTTGTTATTATTCAAGGCAGATATAACATAACCATCCATGGATCTCTAGCATCAATATCTCGCATGCGGAAAGCCCTCATAGAAAGCCAGCAGACTTTCCAACATCATCTCCTTCATCCCCTCACAACCGTTCCTCCCGCGCCTCACGCAACCACCCCCCAAAACCATTGGCTGCCACAGAAAACTTCCTTTCCATACAATCTTAACTCCCATAAAATTAAAAAAATTAAAAATAAATTAAAAATAATAATCACCAACCGTTTAAAATTAATCAATTAATTAAAAAATAAACTCTCTCTCTCTCTCTGTCTCTGTCTCTGTATTCTGCTTCCAGGAGGCCTTGATTTCCTCTGATAGAAGCTGTTGTTGCCGCCTCTCATGTTCTAAAACCACATTTTATAAGGTTTTCTCTATTTTATTTAATCAAAATTATTTGATTCATCAAAGTTTGTTTTTAGAGATGATGGTCATGAAGAGACCATGGCGATTAAGAGCAGATTAATGGGGTTCATGTGAGTTGATTTCTTGCTGCATCTTCTGTTCAGATCATACATTATATTGTATGATGCAGCTCTTATCTCTGTTTTTCATTCATAATGAAAACGATTTGGTGAAGGTAACGGTCGAATTTTGTTAGATTGATTGTTCTGTATCGCATGCATGTTAAAAAAAAATTTCAGAAAATATTGACGATTAAAACCTTATTTTTTATGATATTTACAGTATTCTTTGGTTTTCTGAAGAAACGTATAGCATTTTAATTTCTTATATTGCAAGAAAAATGAATTATGGTTTGTCTATTGATGGATTTGAAGAAATTAGTTAATGAATCGGGAGCTAGGTTTTAAAAGTTGAGAAAAGATTGGAGCTTTGTTGTCTCTAGACATTCTTTTTGGTTGATTTTGATGGAATGTTTTGATGCTGCATTTGATGTATTTTAGGGGATTTTACATGCATGATACTGAAAATATTGTTATTTATGTCACATCCTAATCCTAATGTTTAATATTACAAAATTGTTACTTCGTTAACGTTTCCGTCCACGCGTCTCCAACATGTCCTACAACGATCTTTTTCAATGTGGCTACTTCTAATCACGGGGTTGATTTTGGCGGAACAGCATAGAGACTGAGAATTGAAGAGATTGCTACCATTGGAGTACTGATGCATCATACTCTTGAGGTAATATTTTTTCGGTGGGAGAGACGTGTTTGTCAATGAGGGAAAGAAATGGCCGACAGGAGTGTTCATGGAATGGTCGGTAGGAGTGTTCATGGAATTGCCGGCATGAGTGTTCCTAGGAGAGTTGGAACGAGCGTGGATGGGATTGTACTAGTGGGAAGGGAGGTCGTTGGGTGTGGGTGCGAGAGGAGTGACTTGGGTGAGAGGGTTGGATGGAGAGGTGGGTCGGCGTGCGAGAGGGGAGAGATCAGGTGCGACAATGGTGTAGGCTTGTCAGATCATGTGGGAGGTCAGAGCTGTGTGAGGAAGGATTAATTGGTCTTATCGGTGTGTGAGTTGTTGTTAGATCAATGTGGGCGTGAAACCTAGAGGTACGTAGAGAGAAACCAAAGCGTTGATAAAAAGTATGATAATATTAAGCTTTGGGGTATGAGATACCAAAATGTGCTAAGTACCTTAAAAAAACCCTATATTTTATTGATATTTTGCATTTCTATGCTATATTAAATAAAACTATCATATTGTGATACTTTCAATATGTTATGGTATGACTCATATACCATATAGAGACAGACACTGGATCGAAGCAGAGCGGAAGAATCTGTCCAAATTGAGAAGTTACGTGGGTTGGGATGAGGGGGCAAAGCCCCGCGGTATGGTATAGGGGTAATGTTGTAATTACATATTGTGCCTAGGGTTTACTCCTGAGATTATAAAGAGGTCTGTTAGTAACCTCAGGAGGTTTCCCTGATTTCTGTAAACCTTTTTTCTGAATAGTGAAAGGAATCGCCGCTCTGCTCCCGATGACGTAGGCATCTTTGCCGAACCTCTTTAAAATCTCCGTGTTCTTCTGCATTTGTGTCGTTCTAGTTTTTCCTCGCCCTAATTTTCTCAACACAATAAGTTCATAAGACCCAAGAAGTAAATATTAAATTTTGAATATAGATAGTGTTATATTATTATACTCTTTTATGCAATTAATTAATTATAATTATTTTTTTTTCAACCTCAGAACTATTTGAGGTGGAGCTGAGAGGAGAAACATCATATAAATTACACAATTTGGCTGATGATGATGAACAATAAAATGAAGGGCCTATTAAAGGGCCTAAGATACATTTCTCAAATATTTGGTAAGCTCATTTAATGCTGCATTAATTTAATATTTATTTGCATATTTACCTTTTTCATAATTTATTTATCTAAATTTGCATATCTGTCTTTTTAATTTTTTACAAGATGAGGAGGAAAAGGAGATGCAGATTGGATATCCAACAGATGTCAAGCATGTGGCTCACTTTGGATGTGATGGACCTTCTGCAAATGCACCAAGCTGGGTAATTACATTATTTGCACTTATAATCTCTTATTTTTTTGACATAATATATATGGCAAATTCACATACATGCCACACAATTCTTATGTATTTACATTTCTATCAGGTAAAGTTTAATTTTTACATTTGTAGCTGTACTTGGGTGTCATAAATTTATGCATGAAAATGTATATTTTATTTTTAAAAATTTATTAAAAATGACATGTTTTACTTGATGATTTGAGTTGTATGTATATAAATATGAAACTTTATGTATTATATATATAAATACATAAGAATTGTGTGGCATATATGTAGATACTCTATATATATATATCTTTCAAAAGAGACTGTTCTACCAATAGGTCACAATTGACAGCACACATAATATATAGATGGATATATATGTGTTTGTGTGTGCCACCAATTGTGACCTATTGGTAGAGCAACCTCTTTTGAATGATATATATATATATATATAT